GTGGGGGGTTCAGGGAGGACAGGGGGATAGGCAGGGGAGGGGCTAGAGTGAGGTCAGGCATGGGAAGGGGAGCAGAGACTGGGACTGGAGCAGGAACAGGGACTGGTACCAGGTAGGTCAGGAGCTCCCAGACGGTAGCACATGTTGCGTCCCTGATGCAACAGTTCAGTCCACATCTGGGCCTGCCACTGTGCATCATCCCGGACCTTCTGGGCCAGCGTCCGCTGCATGTCCCGCAGGATGGAGACGTACTCCCTCATCAGGTCCTCCTGGGCCCTCCGGCTCCCCCAGGATCGGGTGGCTGACTCGGGTGGTGTCAATCACCCCACAGTCACGGCTGGTCCAGCTGGGGAGAATAAAGAGAGATGGTCAGTCATCCCTGGAGACACTGTCACTGGAGCCTTGCCCCCATCTGTGAGCTGAGAGCAACAGTTCTTGGGTCAGAGGACAGTGATGTCCCGGGAGCAAGGCCATGTGTGGCCCAAACAGGTGACCCAGCCTTACAGGGGCCCAGAGGTCCCCAGGCTTCCTGCCCTCCAACCCTGTCCCACAGACAAGCAGGCAAGGGAAGTGTCCGGTCACACTGGCATCCAATGGCCGGGAGGGGAGCCTCGAGCTACCTGGGCGTCCACCGGTGCCACATACACTCCTGCGCCTGGCACCACTGTCCCTAGGAGAAGGTGCTGCCTCGAGCAGGCAGGCTTACCCATGTGCAGCACTCCAGAGTCTGTGTGCATGAGCGTGTGTGTCCTTGTCCCCAGCCTCCTTCCAGCAGCGGCTTGGGGCGGGAGGGCGTGTGCCCTGGGGGTCAGAAGTGTGGGCAGTCTGTGAGCAGGAGCCCAGGGGTGCTCTGGGGCTGCCTCCTGGGGCTGCGTGGCGCAGACTGGCGCTGCATGTGCATCCACACGCACAGACAGCAGCACGAAGACCAGGCCGAGAAGGCCGAGTGATGATCGCACCCCAGCCCCTCAGCACCCACCACCCTCACCCTGTGTGTGTGAAAACTAAGACCACTCACCTGATGATCCTTTCCCAGCCTTAGAGGACGCCTGGGACACATCCAGGCCGTGGGGTAGCGGCTCAAGGGTGATGGTGGTCACCGTGCTCACTGCGTCCTCCTCCTCCTGGGCTGGGACCCCCGCACGGGCGACAACGGGTGTCTCCAGCCCCATGTCCACCACCGGAGGTGGGGAAGGGGCTTCACTGCCCCCCAGGATGCGGTGCAGGTCATCAAAGTAGGGGTAGGAGTGGGGTCCTGCCCTGGAGCATGAGCTGTGCTCCCTCACCCTGGTGTAAGCTTGCTGGAGCTCTTTTACTTTGCTCTGGCCCTGCTCCAGAGTCCGGGTGTGGCCCTTTGTGGCCAGGCTTTCAGCCATCTGGCCATACATGTCAGCATTGCTGCAT